AATGCTTGGTTTCGGAGATTCAGGGTGTAGAATTTTCATTTTTATTTCGATTTTTTCAAATAATTTTTGAAGTAACGTCAATATTTGGGTGAAAATTGGTGTCTAGGAGTTTTTTGACATGAGAAATTTGATTTTGATGTCAATATGACTCCTCTTTGTAGAGGGCGCCACCTACATGTTTTTTAGCTGTAGCTTTTTTTGTCTGTATTTTTGTAAAACTAGTGAGTAAAAAAATATACATTTACGACATTTATTACGTAAAAAAAGGCCTCTGGGTAAAAATCGCTACGAGTGATGATTCTCGAGATATTTGGAATCGAAATTATCAATACATGTCATCATTGACATAAATTAGACTTGTTGACTAAATAGTTATTAGTCTGAAATCATAAATTTGAAATGTTTTTGTGTCAAAAGTTCAATAGAAACTGTTTTATCATCTTTTTTTCGAATAAAAATTTATGATTAATTTAAAAAAATAAAAAGTTCCCAAATTTATCATTTCAATCAAATAACTATCTACTCAAATATTTATCTTTAGTAAATAATGACATGTATTGACTATTTCCATTCTAAATACCTTAAGAACGATTGATCGTAGAGATTTTTTTACCAAGAGACATTTTTTACGTAAAAAATCTCGGAAATGCACATTTTTTCACTCATTAGTTTTATACAGGTACGGACGAAAAGTTATTATCCTTCAAAACAGTTAAAACACATGTAGGTGGCGCCCCCTATAAATTGACTGACAACAAATTGACAACTGACATCAAAATCAAATTTCTCATGTGAAAAAACTGCCAGACACCAATTTTCATACAAATATTGGCATTACTTCAGAAATTAAAATAAAAATGAAATTTGTACACCCTGTATCTCCAAAACTAAGCATTTTAGGACATACATTTATACGAACTTTTTTCCTTATTTTTATCAGCAGAACATGCTGTCGAAGTTTCCAGAATACAGTTCGGACCACCCTGTATATAGGTTTTTATAACACTTAATTTTCTGCCACATTTTCCTTCTCGCGTAAAAACCGGTAATACTGTATGCCGGATTTTCTTTTGTCTCTCTGTCTGTCAACCGGTCATTTATATCCATCTCTGTCGCATGCATTAAAATATAGACCACGCAGATGAACTGTCCAGGATGGTATATTTAATTTATTAGTTTTGTAAATGTATAAACTATATTTTGTCTTAAAAGTTATCTGTCCCTTTGAAGCAAGTAAAAGGTTCTTGGTAAGTTAGACTGAATATTTATATAGAAATTCTATATTTTTGTGGAGTTGTTAACTCTCGCATTTTTATTTTTTTATGTTTAGTGTTTTTTATTGCACTATTCTAGTCATATTTTTTTTTCTTATTTTGTTATATGTGTAATTTTTACGTATATGAAATTTTTTTAGTATTTTTTTATTTCCTCTTCCTGTTCCTCCTTCACTTCTTAATTCCTTCCAAAATATAATATTCTACTTAACGATTTAACTATTAACACATTTTTTTTGTTTGCTTTCTAATATTTTAACCATAAACTAACTAATTGATATTATTCTCTTTTAAAAAACGCACAGGAAGGTCATAAAGTAGGCATCAAATATTTTTCGAAATTAATTAATCTTGTATATTTTTGCAATTGATTCTTTTCCAATAAATACAGGAAATAATATTAGTTATACAATTAATTATCTACTTGGATTATAAGATTGATTATAAAATAATTTTATTGAAAAACACTTTATTCCTAATTTTTTGATCATAATTTTCTTCCAAGTGCCTTTATAGTCTAAGAGCCAGCTTCGAAAAAATTCTCTGAATTTACCAAAGCTAGTTTTTGGACAGTTGATTGCAGTAGTTATGCACATACATATACCACGGTCAGTCAAGCAGTCAAGCGAAACTTAGAACAGGGACCTCTTACCCCAGTGCAGTTATGACATTCACCATGTTGAAATTGCAAAAATGTTTAGAAAACTGCGACCATTGAAAACAGTTAGCCTTAGTAACCCTTCTTAACATACTAAAAGTCCCCATTTGTCCGATGTGTGCGTCATCAAAAAAAAACGGCCGCCATCTTGAATTTTGGTACTTTTTGGAAAAAAATGTAAATAACTCGAAAACGGTTTGTTATAGCGAAAAACTTCAAGAGGTAAAAATTAAAGAGAATAAAAAACTCTATTAGAATCAATAAAAAATAGTTTATTATCCTAACGCAATGACGTACAAAAAAAAATCAATATCGAGGAATTTTTAAAAGGAATCACCGAAATGCAAATTACGAATTTTTTAAGCTTATTAACAAATAACATGGATATTTAGCATCAATTCAACTGAAATACAATCCTTGTGACATTTTCAAGAAATATTTTTTATTGGTGGGTTAATAATATTTCAAAATTAACAAAAATTGTAAAAGCTATCCTTTACTAAATACTAATAATGTGCGAAAGCAGTCTCCACCTTGTCCCGGTCGGGGCTATTTGCACTTGGTTTTATTGTTACCATTTTGTAAACAACTTGTTTTTAAAAATACAGTGACAGTTTGAAAAATTAGGCTACAGGTTGGAAGAAAAAAATAAAATGTAATGTAAACTGGCGACTTTCAAAACGGTTGCAAAAAGATTCTCATCTGCGACAAATTACATCCGTTTTTTTAGATCCTGCAGCACAAAAATCTGAGCTAGTCGAAGCTGGAAATACATTCTTTTCATTATATAGTCGACATAGGCTAGCAAAAGATTTAGATCAGTTGAGGTATTTTAAATATAAAGCCCTTACATCTCGTCAGGTACTTAATGTAAAAATTTTGATTTAACTACCTTATACCTCCAACAACTAACGCAGCTGAAAATCATTATTATAGGACCTATTTATAAATGCAGTATTGGCTAAATAACGGAGAAGAGGCAACAGAATGTGGATGGAGTAAAAAACGGATACCTTAGTTCCAACAATGTCAAACGCAGTGGCACCAGAATTTGCATTGAAAATGATTTACTGTAATTGCAAATCTGGATGTAATAAACTATGTACTGCTTTTTGTTTATCCCTAATGCATCTGCAATGTCCCTTATGGGAACCCCATCCCTTAATCGCGTAAATATAATCGATTTTTGCCCTGAAGTTAAAGGCATTTTTTAAAAATTACGTGACACTGATACAAGAATATAGACCAGCAGATTAAATCATATTTTGTTGTACTATTTTTTTTCTAATCGCAATGGTACATGTTTAAAATCCAATATGCCATGTTCATGCTTGTGTGGTAACTGTAATGGTATTTCTTGCGACAACAAACAAATATCGGTCGATGAAGAACAAATCGAATAAAATTGTAAATTTCATTTTTTTTCTAGAGATGACAGTTTGAAAAGTTAGGTTACAAGTTGGTAACACATTTTTATTAAAATGGTCATAATTTGAATTATTGTTATTCGATTTGTAGGGGTATGTTTATAATGTATTTATCATAATGAAAAAGTGTTAAGATCTTAGGTTAAGATCGTAGATGATATTTATGTCAAAAAGACATTCGCAAGTAATTTATTACATTTTATTTTTTCTTCCAACCTGTAGCCTAATTTTTCAAACTGTCACTGTATTTTTAAAACAAGTTGTTTACAAAATGGTAACAAAAGACCTTAGTTTAAGTGCAAATAGCCCCGACCGGAACAAGGTGGAGGCTGCTTTCGCACATTATTAGTACATATGTATTTAGTAAAGGATAGCTTGGACAATTTTTGTTAATTTGTAAATATTATTAAACCACCAATAAATATTTCTTGAAAATGTCACAAGGACTGTATTTTAGTTGAATTGATGCTAAATATCTATGTTATTTGTTAATAAGCTTAAAAAAATAGTAATTTGCATTTCGGTGATTCCTTTTAAAAATTGCTCCATTTTCAAAAAAATTTTGTACGTCACTGCGTTAGGATAATAAACTATTCTTTATTGGTTCTCATATAGTTTTTTATTCTCTTTAATTTTCACGTCTTGAAGTTTTTCGCTTTAACGCACCGTTTTCGAGTTATTTACATTTTTTCCCAAAAAGTACCAAAATTCAAGACGGCGGCCGATTTTTTTTGATGACGCACACATCGGACAAATGGGGACTTTTAGTATGTTAATAAGGGTTACTAAGGCTAACTATTTTCAATGGTCGCAGCTTTCTAAAAATTTTTGCAAATTCAAAATTATTTGCACTGGCCTTATCTGGGACGTTAACTTACGTAATAAAAAAAATTAATATATTGATTAATATTTATTAATATTTGATTTGGGGTTATAATTTTACTGACGGACATCGATCAATGTCAAAATTAAAATTAGTATTATATAAAATGATATATAATTATTTTTTTTTACGTATATTGGGAACGACTGACCAGCACTGTTCCGCTATTCAGGTGACTAACATTGCTGTTATTTAGGTATAATATATACCATATGATCGAGAAAAAACGGCGTCAGCGATGGCTATGGAATGAAGGTCGCTGTCATTTTTCCCAGCCAACTGTACGCCGTTTTTTTGGATCAAACGGTATAATAATGTATAACGATTTTCAGCCTTAGTAAACTCGTTGCATTACCTAAGTTATCTTCACAACTTCGACCACGTCCCAGAGGTCCCTGTTCTAAGTTTCGCTTGACTGACCGCGGTATATGTATGCACATAACTACTGTAATCAACTGTCTAAAAATTGGCTTTGGTAAGTTCAGAGACTTTCTTCTTTGCTGGTTCTCTGTCTATTACCAATTTGAATGAAATTTTGAGCGGTAAGCCTGAAACATTTATGGCCATAATACTCTAGAAAAATAAAATGCTATTTTTTTTATTGAAAATGTCATTCTATTCTAAATATCACTACGCAAAGTTCACAGAATAATCCTCTTTTCGATCAGAATGTAAACTGATAACTGTGCTCTATTAATAGGCTTCTGCTACCTGGTCCAGAATTATTAGACTTCTTTATAATTCTATTCAATTTCCAGTACCACTATCACCTGCTCGCCCTTCGAGAAGATTTGGACCACAGGTGGCCGAACAAGATGAAGCCAACAAAGCAGAGATCCAGAAACTACGTGAAGCCAGAGCAGCCAGACTGGCGTTTATTAACGAAGAGGAAAAACGGGAAAGAGTGTCTTCTTCCAGAGACGTGGACGAAGCAGTCAGAGCCAAGAAAGAAAAGGAAGAAGCTAGGTTAGCTGAAGAAAGGTAGAATTTAATTGGCACCTAAAAATTAATAATCTTGAAAAAAGACAAAAGCAAAAATAATGTACTGTAATCTGTCTCTAACTTTATTCATTTTAAAATGGTAGTTGAAGTGTAGGCGAGATAAACAAAGTTAATAGTTATTTTTTATACAAGACAATAATGCAATTTTATCGTCGTGTATAAGACAATATTTTTTTCCGTAGCGAGTTACGTTTTAAAAAATATTCATAAATTATTATTTCAATAAATTTATTACGAGTTTACGAGTAGAACAAATATTGTGCTGGGTTAGCGTTCGTTCCTATGTAATTTGACAAATAAATAAAGCTGTCTCTTTAGTTGTCAGCACGGGGGTGTCACTTGTATGGGAAAACAGGCAACAGTCAAATTTAAACGTGCCAGGACCAACGACAAAGGAAGCAACATCTGCCAGGCATTGGCTTTCTTTGTCACTCACATTGCTTAAATCATGATACCGCGGCCATTTTGCCAACAAAGAAGCTGGCCGGGCTGTCCTGGCATGTGATTTAAAACAATTTTGCTTTTTTACAATATTAAATTACCATTTGGATGTATTTAATGCGATTATTCAGTTAACTGGTAAGTCAGAAATTACACACAAATACTTTATTCGTAAATACAACTAAGATGTAAACGTATTTTTGTATTTTTAGATTTCAACTTTGCAAAGACCCGCCGATAGAACTTGCCTGGCAGCGTACCTGTTTAACTAAACGTATTATTTCCTGATAATAATATCAAAACACGTAAGTACCTCTATAATTTACGATGAAAAATGATTTTGATTATGTTTTATATTATTTAAATACTTTCTAACCTCAAATAATAGTAAGATCCTTGTTTATATTGCACAGCCCGTTCAAAACTGTATTGTCTTCAAAAGATGTTTACAAAACAAACAATTATTAAAAAAACAATGTCCTTTTAATCTGATTTATACCTCAGAAGGATGCCAGTAAAATTTTATTAAATCAACATTATATTATTTGGCCGTTAATATGCATAAAGGAGCATATTGCCTTAACTTAAATTTTCTTTTACTTCTCCTGACAATGTTCTCTATATTCTCTATTTTGAGTTAGTAAACTTTTGAACGGGATGTGCGATATATAAAATACATAATATATCCAAGGGTATGATCTGATAAAAGTATTTTTGATGCATTTTTTGGTTGTTTATGCACGTTGGCTTGGTTTATGTTTTATTCAGCTTATATTTATTTGGTATAACAGTTTTTTTTGCCTTTGGAATGGCATGCATTGAGGCTAGATAGTGTTTCATTAGATCATTAAAGGAATTTAAATTAGTATATATTTTTTGTCATATTAGTGTGTTATCATGATACAGGTAGTTGTACCATAGTGCCTTATGCATGTTATTTACCTATTATATACTTATAAAAGTAGTAATACTACTAAGTAAAATACTTAGTAAAATGTCTTTTTAATAGTATGTTTATCTTTCCAATTCACTAGTTATTTGCAAAATGTATTTTGAACTAATTTAAGTCATTAATTGATCATCTTTCTTTTCAGGTTCAGGATATTCTTTTCATTGTTAAAATATATATATATATATATATATATATATATATATATTTCAATATAATTGTAATATAAATCGCAGCTCTAAAAAATAAATGATATTGTTTACTAATGTGTAATTTATTTACTATGAATTTTCTCTGAAAATAATAAGTCTTTAATAATATCATTGATTTGCTGTGTAATGTTAAAAGACATATTTTTTAATACATTAAATTATATTAAAGTAATAAAAAATATCGTGGGCGTACAAGGAAAACCATGTAAGTCCAAAAACTAAAAAGGTGAGAAAAAGTGATTTTAATGTTTGAAGTGATATGTAAAATCCAATTTTATTTTTTGACTGCACTAAAAGAAATTAATTGACATTAGGGTTATCTAGGGCTAATTTAGGCTAAATTAAAATACAGGGTTTTAAGAACAAATTGTTTATTGACATTTTTTTTTATAATAATCTGACTTAATGGATTTTCTGAAAAAAAAACTTAAATTTTACTGGAGTTAGTGGGTTTTTCTTGATTGGCTCCTTTACTTTTTGGGATCAAATAATGAGCCAGAGGCTTATTATCGGAATCACAATCGCTTTCTTGATCGGGAATTCCCACAGATCCTTCTTGAACATTTTTGCAGACTGTTAAAAAAATTCATAAATCCATTAAGTGCACTTAATAGATTTTTCTGAGCGAAATTTAGCGTCTGTGGACTTAGTTATTTTGAAGCTAATAATATCTCGTATATTTGAACTGTATTGGACTTAAAGGATATTTAATATGAGAGGTTATACCTAAATAGACTTAGTAATGTGAAAAACCGATTTTACGAAAAAGTGGACTTACATGGTTTTCCTTGTACGCCCACGATATGTTTATTAACTTTAAACAGTAAGTCAGTGATACTTATAGGTAAAAATATTTTTTTTAAAAATTTCCCCTCTTTTAAGCCCCGCCCGTCCAATTCCCCTCAATTTAGCTAGTACTGCCATTTTCCATTTTTTAACATGAAGTTAGCATTTCTTTAATGTACCTATTCTCTGGTTGTCAGTTTTGAGTCAATATTTTTTAATGCTCTTTCGTGTCGATTGTTGATTGAATTGGAGCCAGAAATGGCTCAAAACGAAATAAATAAATTACCAACAGATATTCAGGCTGAGGCGACAAACGGCATATCCAAACTACTTCCATTTAAATCCTGAATAACTTATCAAAAGGAATACAAAAATTTTCAAAAATGGAAGCAATTAAAAAACGTGAGAGAAGAAATAAAGTTTTTGGTTAGGTTAGGTTATTTTTGATAGATATAAGGCAATTTTAACTGTTGCTACGGAAAAAAAGATATAAAATCGGAATAGTAATAAAATTCTACGTCCTTAAGATATACAGGGTGGCGCACCTCAATCGCCTCGGTTGATTATACGAAAACGGAAAGATGTAGAAACAAAATATTTTATGGTTATATGTGGGGAGGCAATGTGCACAATTTAAAATTATTTTGAAATATACAAGGTGTTTCAGAACTAAGATCCATACCAAAGTTATATTTTTTCTTATGGAACACCCGGTATTTTATTTAATTTTTGGATTCTTGTGCCCAAAATAAGGCATTTATTATAAGAGTTTAATATGTCTAAAAGCTTTGGTTCTTGAGATATTTAAAGATATTTAAATATGCATGCTATAATGAAAAAATTGTCAATACCCTGTATAATTACTCTTCAGAATTAATTCTTGTGCTGACTTTAAAGCCAGAGAAATAAACTTTACTAAAAAAATGATTGCTTTCTTAAATGTATACAGAGGTATCAAAAATTGCTGGTCTATTTTAAATATTTATTTTACATAAAAACTTCGTTATTTCAAATACAACACTTTATATTTTTTTAAATAAATCGAAGCAGATTCAAATGCTCTTTCAAACTACATTAGGGTTTTCTATACCTATCTAGCTCAGATTTTGAATAAAAAGCAAGTTTTCAATAAAATGACAGTTGGTGACAAAACCGACATTAGTTTATGGACATTATTATTTAGATTTATAACAGTTTACTTAAATTTACCTACAATAGTTTAATATGTAAGTATTTATTATTATTTCAAGAAAAATAAAGCAGTATTTGCTGGCGAAACGAATTTTATTTTATGAGGAAAATTGATTCTTGGCCCAAGGGCTTATGCTCAAAGATATCCAAGTAGGAATATCTGATAAGCGTTCCTTTGAAAAACTACTTGTCTTATTTCGCAAAACTATGGTAGTGTGGTTTATAAAAAATCTATTAGGCAGAAATCTGACGTTGGAAGCGAAGAAAATGAATTTGCTGTAATTGGCTTTTTTATAGAAATTTTAAGAAGGCGTCTATTCTTCTCACAGAGACCTGGTTTAAATTAAAAGTCTTTAATTTAAACTTAAAGTTTACTTTGAATCTTTTTTCTACATTTTTTTATAGAAAATCCATAAATCCACAAATCAACGTAAAATAAATCAATGGGCTACTTCATTTTTCTTGATATAATATTAAATACATATTTAATAAATATTATTTATTAAACTATTGTAGGTAAATTAAATAAAAGTAAACTGCTATAAATTTAAACGAAAGTCCATAAACTAATTTCTATTTTGAAAATAGCTATTGTCACTAGCAACTTATCATGGCAACACCAGCCATCTTGATTGCCATTTTATTGAAAAATGGCTCTTTATTCAAAATTTGAGCTAGATAGGTATAGGAAACCCAAAATATAGTTTGAAAGAGCATTTTAATCTGCTTCGATTTGTTTAAAAAAATTCAGGGTGTTGTATTTGAAATAACGAAGTTTTTATGTAAAATAAATATTTAAAATATACCAGCAATTATTGATACCCCTGTATACATTAAACGAAGCAATCAAATTTTTCTATAAAATTTATTTCTCTACCTTTAAAGTCAGCAGAAGAATTAATTCTAAAAAGCAATGCACAGGGTGTTAATAATATATTCTATTGTAGCGTGCATTTTTAAATATCTTTAAATATCTCAAAAACCAAAGATTTTAAACATATTTAACCGTTATAATAAAAACCTTTTTTTGGGCATAAGAATCAAAAAATGAAATAAAATACCTGGTGTGTGTGTGTTCCATAAGAAAAAATATAACTTTGGTTTGGATCTTAGTTCTGAAACACCCTGCATATTTCAAAATAATTTTAAATTGTGCACATTGCCTCCGCACATATACCCATAAAATATTTTGTTTCTACATCTTTCCGTTTTCGTATAATGAACCGAGGTGAATGAGGTGCGTCCTCGCGTGCGCCGCCCTGTATATTACGATATACAGGGTGTTTCAAAACAAATGCGAAAAACTTCAGGGGGTCATTCCTTGTTCAAAATAAAGGGTAGTTTGCTTTATAAACGTTGGGTCAAAAGTCAACCATTAGGGAGATATCGCGGTACAAAGATGGCGGAAAAATAATGTTTTAATTTTTTGTCTTGAAACGAAAAAGAGAAATGAGCTAATAAATTTTACGGAAGCATTACTGTTATGAAAACACACTTTCTGGTAATTTTTTAAAATGAGTGGAAGGGGTTGAAATAAACTACCCCTATCATTCTTGTTAATGAAATTTAAAGAAAAATCTTATCAAACACATGCAAAAAAAAATAATTTTGATAGTTTAGTTTATTTAGAAACTTTTTTATCTCTTGTGTTTTTTTGATAAAACTCACCGATTTGAAATTAAAAAATAAAATGTAAAGCATTACATGTCAGGACAAAAAACATTTTTAGATAAAGAATCTAGTGGGCAGCTGTAATTTTTTTAGGAAAAAATCTAGTCGGCCGCTGTCACTTTTTAGGATGTTTCTAATATTGTTTTATTTGACATTACCCTACTGCAATACGTTATTATCTAGATTATAATTATTATCATTATTATCACTAGATTCTTAATCTAAAAATATTTTTAGTCCTGACATGTAATGCTTTACATTTTATTTTTTAATTTCAAATCGGTGAGTTATAAAAAAATTACAAGAGATAAAAAAGTTTCTAAACAAACTAAACTATCCAAATTAATTTTTTTGCATGTGTTTGATAAGATTTTTCTTTAAATTTCGTTAACAAGAATGATAGGGGTAGTTTATTTCAACCCCTTCTACTCATTTTAATAAAGTGAAAAATTACCAGAAAGTGTGTTTTCATAACAGTAATGTTTCCATAAAATTTCATTAGTCTATCTCTTTTCGTTTTCAAGATAAAAAATAAGAACATTATTTTTCCGCCATCTTTGTACCGCGATATCTCCCTAATGATTGACTTTTGACCCAACGTTTATGAAGCAAACTACCCTTTATTTTGAACAAGGAATCACCCCCTGAAGTTTTTCGCATTTGTTTTGAAACACCCTGTATAAAAATTTAAAAATTTTGAAAAATTTTTACTACTGTTTATGTTAGAACCTTTGTTGTTACTACAGAAAAATACAAAATTCTATCAAAGCAGAAGTCCCGGAAACAAAACACTTTATTTTAAAATTTACAAGCACGTTTTGCTAATAATGTAACCCGCAAATGATTAAAACTTCAATTTTTTCATTAATAGTTAAAAAATTAAACACTAGTATCCTAAATTTAAAATAAAGCATAAAAAAATAAATAATAGATTAAGGTAGCTTTAATTAACAAAACAAAATAATACTCACTCTAACTTACGAACCAGAACACACGAACCATAGAGCACACAACGACTAGCTTCCAGCCAACAAATACGTCAAAGAAAACTGGACGAGACAAAATCAAAAACTAAATTATTGAACTAAAAATAGCGCGCACTACTTTTTCTAAAATATAAATAAGATTTGAAAATCACTTACGCGCAGAGAAAGTATACTATATCATACTCGATATCACATTAATTTCAGTTAGGAGTAATTTCGTTAAGTTTCGTGTTTGACTAGGCGTTCAAAAAATATTTTTTTCCATAGCAACTGTTAAAATTGCCTTATATATCTATCAAAAATAGTAGATAAAATAGTACTTTAACCGCAAGAGTAGATTAAATCATACTTTAACAGCGAGGATAGGTTAAAAACTTTATTTCTTCTTTTTAATTGCTTCCATTTTTGAAAATTTTTGTATTCCTTTTCATAAGTTATTCGGGATTTAAATGAAAGTAGTTTGGATATGGCGTTTGTCGCCTCAGCCTGAATATCTGTTGGTAATTTACTTATTTCGTTTTGAGCCATTTCTGGCTCCAATTCAATCATCAATCGACACGAAAGAGAATTAAAAAATATTGACTCAGAACTGACAACTAAAGAGACAGCCATAGACAAACAAATAAAAAGAGACTGACAAATCCCATGGTAAAGAGTGGGACCGCGTTCCCGTAGCGCAACTCTCAACAACAATTTTGATTCCAATTAGCAGGACCATGGCAGGACGTACGTGCTATCTTTCTTTATTATGTGTGCTTTATATGAAAAAGAAAGAGATAGGTATAAAACGTATCGTAAGACATTATCGCACATTCTGGCTGGCGGAAAATTTAAATTAGCCTTTATTAGTAGTATTCTTTCATTCTGAAACTGAAAATTTTCACTTAAACTGATTTATTCCCTATACCACGTAAAGGGAACGTGGTGTAGGAAATAAATCAGTTTAAGTGAAAATCTGCAGTTTCTTTCAGAACGAAAGAGTACTCTATTATAAGGGAAATTATAAAAAAAAGCAAAAATTGTACTGTTTTATAAACATATTTATTTATACATAAAAATAAATAAACTTTTTATAATATAATAACAAAAAATAACAGTGTTTATTCCACCCACCTACCAATTTTAAATGCAGAAGAACTGACTGTTGCAGGAAACGATCGACCAATTTTTTTAAAGGGCATTAAAAATCTCATTTTCGAAAAAACTGTCTAATTGCAATAACAAAGTGAATATCCAAGCAAAGAAGACTTTACGAGAATCATGATCCTCAACCATTTTCAAGTCCAGTTTTAATTTTTAATCCTAAAACAAAAGTAAAATAGGTATATTAATAAAGTTTCTGGTTACTATAAACCAGCTATAAACTCCCTACCCAAAAAATGATAAAAAATAATTGTATTAATTTGTTATTTTAGGAGAGGTTCGAAATATTTTTGACACTACTACTTCTACTTTTTTCTTAATAAGATGATAAATATAACTACTTACTTTTATTTTACCGGGTGTCTTTAACATATCTATCAGAGAAAGGGGGTACCAATACATATAAAAAATAGATGATACTGGTTCCTGCAGCAAATAAAATAACAAATAGTATAAACTAAAATTATAAGTAACAAAATATAAATACCTATATGGAACAAAGGAATTTGTTCCCTATCCATATTCATAAGTCAATAAAATGGAGAGTTTAGAAAAAAAGGTAAATCACGAAAAGAAAAATTAACAAACATAACGAATTGTCATGATGTTGTTATCTTGGTTGTCATGATGACGAAAACGAAAGGCGACTGTTCTAATTTCTATTTAGAAATTACGTTTTATATGGTTGCTTCTTTCTCTCTTGTTATATTAGAATGAGATAGTGGGCCCAATAGACGCAATGCGCAGATTAACATAAATAGAACGAAATTTTGCGTTCTGAGTTGCGCTACGGGAACGTTGTCCCTCTCTTTGCCATTTAATTTGCCAGTCTCTTTTTATTTGTTTGTCTATGGAGACAGCTTTATTTATTTGTCAATTTATATAGAAACCAACGCCAACCCAGCACAATATGTTTTCTACTCGTAATAAATTCCTTGAAATAATAATTTATGAATATTTTTTAAAAAGTAACTCGCTATGGAAGAAAAATATTGTTTTATACACGACGATAAAATTGCATTATCGTCTCCCGAAATTAATTCACTCGTGATTTCATCGCTCGTGAATTAATCTTTTCGGACGACGATAAAATACCATTTTATCGTCTTGTATAAAAAATAACTATTAAGGGAGCATTTATAAGAGATATAAAAATAAATGAAAATCTAAAGTATTGTACTACATCCTGCTAGTGTTAAAGCCCCGTCAGTATGCACTCGGATAGTAAATAGATAATAAATTAGAATAACCTTATATTAATATTGTCTTTGTCTCCAAAATTAAAATTAAAATAGCTTAATATCTAATTAATGCATGGTTCTAGGGCATTGGCTGAAGAGCAAGCTCGACAAGAAACTGTAGCCAAACAAGCTGCCAGGAAAGCTGAAATTGCGCGACAAGAGGAGCTAGCTGCTAAAGCAGCTGCAGAAAGAGCTGCCGAATTAGAGAAACAAGCTGAACTTGCCCGACAAGCAGAAGCTAAAAAACAGGTAAACTGGAATTTAGATTTTATCTAGCAAAAAAGTATCGTTAAATTGACTTTATTTATAAGTAGTGTAAATTCTTAATGTAACTCTTCTGACAAGCTTCTACGTCCCACTAGTCAACTCGCATACCCAACAATGTTGCCGTTTACTGTTGCCTTATTTTATGGTTTACATCATTACATAATATACAAGACATCAGGGCCGGCGGAAGGGCCGGGCGACCCGGGCGGCCGCCCGGGGCGCCGTATACAAGGGGCGCCACGACAGAAACTAAAATATTTATAAAAAGAGTAATCTAAACAAATAGTAACGAATAACCAGTTCAATAATTAATTCATTATTAAAATATTAGCAATTACCACACCACATAGGGAAAAATATCTGACTAAACATTATAAACGCTACTATATCCTAGATCTATCTTATTATAGTTTTCTGAAATTATGCTCAAAAAATTCTTAGCACGGAAGTTTTGGGATGTTTTTTTGACGGACGTTGGGATTTCTTCTATTCTATATATTCTTTGGGTGCTCTATTCGAAACTGGGATTTGCGAATTCATTTTCGTGGAAGAATCTTAAACAAAATAAAATAAAAAAATATAAATCTGATTTGTTCGTGGTATTTTACTTATAACTCAAAAGCTATCAACTTTTTGTCAATATCCCTTTTTTCTATAATTCTTGTTTTTATATATTGAATTATTATTTATTAATTCAAACCAAACCAAACCAAACCAAACAAACTGTTTTGAGTCAAGAGCCAGCAAAATTTAGTTAGACTAATCGCTCAAAATCGCACTTTTTCTACTACCCACACCTTTTATTTGTTATTAATGGCTGATATGCCCTAAAATTATATGAGGCAAATATTTATTCACAAGAAGCTGAAGAAGATCCCGCCGATATCCTTATTATCAAAAAAAAAATTATAAGGTTGCCTCATTAATTAAATTAATTCATTAACAGTAGTGGGAAAAGATATTAATTTTTTGGTGGTTTTGATTGTTCCGGATTCCGGAAAATGTAAGCAGAATCATAGAATTTTCTCATTAGAGCAAGACAAAGTAATGCATCACAAACACAGGCTGATCATCATTTTGAAGCCGACAAAACTGTATCTGATCATATAATATAACATATAAATTGATTGTGAAAAAATAAAGAACATTTTCTTAAATTCTTATAGAAAAGTAATGCTGCAACTAAATATTAATGTTTTCAAAGATCACTTATTCCAGAACGAGACTGCCGAAGTTGGAATTCTATTTCTTATATTTCTATAGATCGGGTGCGTCTCAAAAGTGGCTCACTCTCATAAATTGTTTATTTTATCAGACGAAGAAAGGAAATTTGGTATATTAGTATACGACATAAATTAGGATGAATTGACGTATCCAATTGTTGTTTTCATTTTCTGTTTCACCGAAATTACTATAACTTTTGATTTTTAAATCGCACCATATCGGTATATTTCTACTTTATGCGATAGAAAATGACACTCTGAATAGAATGACTTGTCATATGTCAACTTTTGACATTTTCGCATATGGTTTAAAATAAACATGCGGTTTATGGTTCATAACAACAATTTGACTCGAAATACCAAATGTGTGGTACCAAATTATTCGTAAAAAAATGCTTTTTCCAAATATGCGAATGAGCCGCCCTTGTTCCATTTGAAAAAATTGAGATATGATTAAAAATACGATTTGGGCATATCTTAACCGGCCAGGACAAGACACGAAAACATAACAATAATAATAAAACATTTTTTAAGGCTCCTTGTTTAAAAATTAGCGTTTTTAACACAGCCATAGCACTCAGATTAAAATTTAAAATACGATTTTTTAAGCGAAAATGTTAAAATTTGGCATAATATGATATGTCCTTCTACTCAGAGTGTCATTTTCTATCGAATAAAGTATAAATATACCGAGGATGCCATTTAAAAAAATTAAAAGTTTTAGTAATTTCCGGTGAAACAGGAAGTTACCAAAAACAATTGAATGCGTCAATTAATCCTAATTTATGTCAGATACTAACATACCCGGTCTCAATATTTCCCTTCCGCCGGCCCTGCAAGACATATACCGTATGATCTTGAAAATGAACATCGATGACATTCCCCTATAATTTATTTCGTTAATGTTAATAAGTAAATGGAATGAATACCAGTATTTCTAATAGCAGTTTTTGCTGCGAATGTAATCGCAGTTTTGTGTGTTTCAGTGTGCTTCGGAAACACGTTAAAAAATTTCATCCGAATTAGATAGAGGAAATAGCACCTATAGAACTAAAATATATGCATTTATCTGCGAATTTTGTAATAAACATTTTAGTGCAAAGAAGAGTTTACCGTGGAATTTAAAATCACATGCACAAGTGGCAAAAGGTAAACCAAACCAAATTATCAAAGAAGTGAGGCAGAGTCAAGCGTAAGCATTGCCATCCAGGATATTAGTAATGATGGTGCATAGACTTTCACTGTGTTTTTCTTTGTCTTCTTTAAGAATGGAAAATTTGATCTTAATATCCTTGATTCAGGGATAATAATAGAACTGTTTTAGGTGATGGTTTAAATAATACCAATATCCCTGTACAAAATATTAGAAAAAAAAATCATATGTGTGATTTTTTCAGTAGGTTTAAAGGTAACTTACATGAACATTTTAAACGGGATCGTGATATTAGTGTTAAAACAAATATATGAACTTTTCCTCAGCAAAATAATTTAATTCATGCTTCTCTCAAAAATAAACAAAATATAATATTTGAATTCAAAAATATATAAAAATCTTTCTAGATGGTTTGAGTAACGTTTACTCTGAATAAAATGCAGTGAAAATTAAGATCTACTAGCTTATTAAAAGTTTGTTTCTTTTATTAAAGTATGACATATTTTCATAAATAAAAATAATTGAATTTAATTTTTAAACAAATTTTAAATCTCTAGTAAATATTAGATTATAACAGAATAAACAACGTACACTAAAACGCACAACACTTGGTATTCATTTCAATTATTCTTAGTTTATCTAGTATTCTGATTACTATTAAGAACGTTCTGACAAAATAAATCAAATAACAATCAAACTTTAAAACGTAAAAATAAACGTCTCTACTTTAGCTAACAACTGAAAATCATGAAATTAAGGGACAACAAACGACAACATTGTTGGGTATGCGAATTGACTAGTGGGACGTAGAAGCTAGTACTCTTCTGAAAAGTGCCAAATTAAATGTCAAAATTACAAAACATATTTTTAACTGGTAAACAGTAACTGGTTAAATTCTGATAAATCTTCTGATAATGCTAACATGGTAAACGAAATATGCGTTCAGCGAATGAAATAGATTATTTTAGTGTATATTAATAGATTTTTATAAATTAATTGAAACGACTGACACCAACTTACCAGGATTGAGTTTTTGTATCAGTTCTAATATTTTTATTCAAAAAATAAGCATGCATTTTTCGAAATATTTTCACTAATGAAAACATTATTTTTAGGCTGAAATTGAAAAAAGGCGACGAGAAGAGGAAGAAGAAAAGGCACGACTAGAAGAACAGCGCAGAATCGAAGAAGCAAACGCTGAAGAAGCCCTCCAAGCTCAACTCCGCTTAGAAGAAATAGCACGCAAGGCAGAGGAAGAGAAAGAAGCCGACCTCGCCCGACAAGCCGAAGAGCTTGCCGAGTTAGCGAGACAAGAAGCCGAGTTGGCAGAACAGGCCAAAATCGAAGCTGAAGAAGAAGAAAGAAAACGCCAAGAAGCCGAACTCGAAGAACTAAAACGCCAAGAAGAAGAACTGGCGGAGTTAGAAAGACAAGAAAAAGAGTTAGCCGTCGAGGCAGCACGGGCCAAGGAAGAAGCAGAGGCTGCCAAGCGCGATGCAGAAATCGAAGAACTTAGAAGGCAAGAAGAAGAATTAGCCGAACTTGAACGAGCACAAGCCGAACTAGATGCTCTTGAAGCCGAAGCTAAAGCTTTCGAATCAGATTTAGGACCTCCACCTGCACAATCCAATGAACCTGAACCTGAAGAAGTCGAAGAAGAAGAAGAAGCTCCGGCTGAGAAAGAACCCGAACCAGAACCAGTAGTTGATGAAGCGGAATTGGCAAGACAGGCAGAATTAGAGGAGTTGAGACGGGATGAAGAAGAACTCGCTGAATTAGAAAGGGCTCAAGCAGAATTAGACGCTTTAGAAGCGGAAGCAAAATTGATGGAGTCTGATCTTGGTCCACCACCTGCGGCTGAAGAAAATGAATATGACGACGATGAACCAGAAGCTATTGCGGAAGATGTACCCGGGGTTCAATCGGACGAAGAAGAAGACTAAGCATATTTTGTTTAATTAAATTAATTTTTTAAGGTACAAGATGGTGAAATATGCTTGTCTAAGTTCGCATTTTATGCATTTTTTGTTATGTACATAAAAATAAGTGTATAAATTTCAATGTTTATGTATAAGAAAATAAAGATTTTTTTTTGTTTTGATCCAACTCGATATATATGACTTTTTATTTTCTCATTTAATAATCAATAATTTATCTTTAAAGCTAAAATGATTTACTTTGCAATTTTTTATACATTCAGATACAAAAAAAATTGTTGTTTTTCTAAAAAAAATGTAGTTGTTTTTATCCTAAATTTAAAACACCCTGTGCAACAATTCCGTGAGAAAATTTTCCTAAAATATTATTTTTCGATCGGACCCGTGTCTTCTGAGCATTGTGTTTTTTGACCCATGTTAACACATGCCTTGGTTAATTTTTAAGGGCGTAATGAACTTGCCACCAACAGTTTTCAATTTTTTCAGCTATCATTATTTTATGATGTTATTTTTTAATATTACCGAGGTGGCTTGGGTTACTATTGTCATAATGTCATATCGACAATGATTAGAACTCTATGTTAAAATTTAAATAAGGTTAAAAAGTAACTATACAGGCTTGGTTTTAATAAATAATAGTAACATTAACAGAACTAAGGATATTAAAAAAAAAATAAGTGTAATAACAAGAGTATAAACAAACAAAAAACTCTTAAAAAGTGCCTCTAATACTTTGTATTACCTCCCCCGGCTGCTATAACTTTCCGTACACGTCGGATCATACGATGATGAAGCTGCAAATATATTGTGTTGTTTTTCCATTCTTCTTAAAGGACCAAGCGACTCTTCATAATTTCGGCCATTTTCAACAAGATCAATGAGTTTTGCACAACCTTTGACACTGAGGACCATATTCAATCGTACACAACAATAATCAAAGAAGCCACCTCGTCATTATGAAGAATAACATAAAAAAGTAAGATATATGAAAACATTGCAAAATTGTTTGTAGAAACCCATAAAGCACATCAAATCACATTTAAGATGTGTTTACATTATTAGATGTAGACACAGGGTGACACAATTCCCCCGATGTAAATATGCTACGTTTACACATTCTAGTTCAACACGTATGCACAAAGGTTAAACGTCCGCCTCACAACGTAGCCACAGTATAGCATTTACGTATACACAAAGTAAGGGATACACAGTGTGCCGTAGGATACACAGTGCTTGTGTATTACGTTTAAACTATGTTTACACATTGCAGTTGTGACTACAGCGTGTATACGTGTGTATTTTGCTTCGTATATACAGCTTGTGCTAGATAAAACTACTTCTTATGAACGAATTTAGGAAATAATACAAGTTTTGATGCCTAACTTTTCATTCTTTTTAAGAAATATTTATTCAATGATACCAATTATATCTTTTTAGAACGAAAATTAGGAATGCAAAACTTTGTATTTTCCAAAAGTATCTCGATAGTAAGTTCAAGAGAAGTAGCCTTAAAATTGTTCCATTTTTGTTTTGTATTAAATGTACTATTTTTCTTCCATAAAATGGATTAAGTGGTTAAAAAATAAAATTCTTATATTTCTTTATATCATGGAACGCAATAGCGCAAATAACACAATAATAATAATTATTTACACTGCAGAAACCAGAAGTAAGAAAACACTGTAAAAGAACAGAATTTGTATCAAAATGTATTAAAAATATAAGTACAACATACTAAAATGGTAAACACTGGTATATCGCCACGATTTGGTGGACCTCGTTTAGTCATTTTTTTCTCCTCTTTTCCCTCCAAGCAGTTGGTTTATTAGCATACTCACTCATCGAGCACTCTGTTGGACTTTGTTATATTTTATTTCCAAATTAACAATCTCACTCTTAAATTTTATATGAAACTGATTATTGAATATTAAACATATCTGTATATTGATCAATCAATAACTTACCGAATATCAGTGTAAGAAGTTCTTTGAAGTGTTTAAATGTTTCTTTCTCTGGTCCATTTAGATTTTTATTATGTATTGAATATCATAGATATATAACTGTATAGATAAAATTTGCTCACGAAATTATTGCACAGGGTGTTTTAATGATAGAGCAAAAAACAACTCTTCGATTAACCCTGTATAATAAGTCAAATACTAAAGTTTATAATAAACTGAGTTTATGAATTAAAGTTTATATATTTATATGCAGTTTGCTAAAAAAAATCAAGAAAATAGGGCTAAAAATAAAAAATAACGCTTTAAACTTGACCAAAAAAATTTCCGTGCGTTTTTTTGCATCTAAGTGAACATAATTAATCTTAAATTAACAGCAATTCAAAACAATAATCAGTTGCATAAACAAAGACTTAATAGCTTAAACTGTACTCTTCCAACTGATATTTATTTACTCGTGTTCCTTTCCATTCATAAATTAGTTAATGTATCGCCCATAACCAAGTAGCTGGTTTGACGTAGTCGTCACCCTCTAAGTTGCCCATTAGGAACGCAATGTACTGTTTTTTATAGAATAAGAAATGATCTCGTGGGGCATTAACTATGTTTTAAATTATATATAAATATTGGAAAAAAATAAGCAATATATGGTGGAAAAATTAATTTAATATTTAACCAAAAAATATTCAAAAAATTGTAGAACTGGCCTATTTCTTTAAAACTATTAGTGATACAATGGCTATAGTATAAGGAAAATACTAGCTCCACTCTGTCAAATATTTTCAGCTAGCCGGCATAACTGGGCAGATTGTTGGCAGCATGCAGAGCGCTTCAGTTTTTCGAGCTGCCAAGTTCAAGCGTTACGTCTCAGAATAGCATGGGATTGGCGAAAACTTAGAGTTTAAAATGTAGTTGTTTAAAACATAATAACTTAGGTAATTTAGTCTAATATTTTGAAAGCAGATTTAGTTTAATATTATCCAATTATTTTAGTTCAGATTTCTTCTATGACGTCTGGTAAACGCAATGTAAATGTAAAACAGGGAAGCTGAGTATACTTGATCATATACAGTACATCTGCTGGATCTGTGTCTATGAAAGGAATGCGGACAAAAAACATTTTAATAAACAGCAATATATTTTATACGTCGATTTGACGAGTGCGTCACCGCAAATCGCTCCGCCCACTCATTTTTTTGCCTACTTACAAATTTGTTGAATTTTTATTGATGGGACGCGTCGTCTATTTTTTTACGAAAAACATCGAGAGAATATCGTTTCCCCTCTCACGGATACCCCGTAGCTACAGAACGGACAGACGTACTGTATGCGTTATAAAAATAGGTAATTTATTAAAATCTGTATATCCAACAAAATAATAATTAAGATAATGTTGAAATTTCTAATTAAGAAAAAAAGGCGCGTAAATGAATAAAAAATTAATTTCCCATTTTTAAGTATTCCAGACACGTTTCTTGAATTTAATTTTCCATTTTGTAAACATTTAAAGCATTGTGATATTTTACATTAAAATTTTATTCCAGCATTTATTACAAAGAAAAATATCTATACATACATTTTTATCCTTTATAAATTTTCGCTATTTTTAGATATTCCATCTTTGTGTTAAATAAATTTTCCAAAGCCTGAGAATTCGTCAGTAATATTTCCAATTATACCAAGTAAAACAAAAAAAAATAAACTGGTTATTTAATCATATTTTAAGTAATTATTTTATTTTTTCTTTAAATGCTTTCACTTAATTTTTGTAAAAATAAAAATGGTGATCAATTAATTAATACATTTACTATTAATATGAAAGTAATACCTGGCGGTAAAGTAATAAGGTAAGAGTAAAGAATAACACAAAGTTGCTGAAAAAAAAATGCATTTTGTTTAGAAAGGATATCAAGCAGTTTTGTTTGAAAGTTCGTTTTGCGCTTTATCATTTATTTTAGTGAAATTGTTTACGTTTTATCAACATTGTATTTGGAAATGGCTATTTTTGAATCACTTGTTCAGACATATATTTTAGTTTACTTTGTAAAAAATATTGAGTATGAATAAATATATTTTCACGGAATTTTACTGTGTTATAATATATCTCATCAAAATTATTAATATACGTCATTTATTAAAAACTATCTTAAAAACTTGTCTAAAACAAAGTTTACAGGAACTTTATTGATTAGTATACCCCTATAACTTATTTATTTTTTCAGTTAAAAAAACGAGATTTGGTATGTTACTATATGACATAAATTAGGATTGATTGACGTATTCAATTGTTTTCGGTCACTTCCTGTTTCGCCGGAAATGACTACAACTTTTGATTTTTAAATGGCACCCTCGGTATTTTTTTACTTTATTCGATAGAAAATGACACTCTGAATAGAACGACATATCATATGTCAACTTTTGACATTTTCGAATATGGTTTATTTGAAATTCTCACATGTGCTTCATAACGACAATTTGAGTCGAAATACCAAGTGTGTGGTACCAAATTATTCGTAAAAAAATGCTTGTTCCAAACATGCTAATGCACCACCCTCGTTCCATTTGATTTGATTTGGTTAGGTTAAATTTTTTGAACTTTTTTGATTGCATGTTGGCGAACATCACAGGGCGCAACTTTGCTCCATATTCGTGTCTATTACGGTTTCCGAGATATCGAATTGTAGCACCCTGTATGTATTTTTAGAAAACTTTAACAATCCTATCAAATAATGCAGCATAGAGTATTTGTTATACTCTGTTTTTTCTTCTCAGGTAAGATTTCGACAGACGATGACAGAAGAAAAGCAAAAGTTTCTAATAATTTTTAAGTTAACTATGGATGGGTTCAAATATAAATCCGTCATACGTCGTCTCTTGTTGTTTTTAACCAGTTTTATTGGTTTATTTCAAAAATAACAGATCGTATTTCAATTTTATTGGTTTGACGGAATGATGAACGACAAACGGACGCCGATGTGTATGAACTCGCCTTTAGATTTTGTAGATTTTTGACGCTTGTCAAAGTCTTGCCAAATTATAGGTTATAATTTTGTGTCAACTTTTGTCAAATACTCTGCGTTTTGAAGTCAAGTAGAGGAAAAATCGAGTGAAAATTAACTGTACACCCAGAGCACAGTTTATGGTTAATACTCGCTGCCCAGACAGAAGGTCTTATACATCAATAAAGTTACCATCAATAAAGTTCGTATACCATCTAGTCGTAGATAAGTGCATCTCGAATATGGTAGAAGGACCATACTATATAAAGACATACTAAAAACTCGAGTAGCTGTATAATATCGACATCACACGATAGGTAAATAATGGATTTTAGTACTGCAGAAAAATAATGTCAAAAGGTACTGGTTTAAAAAAATTTAGATTAAAGTTAATTAATCAACCTTTAAGGTATAAAATTAAAATTATTAAATTATAAGTGTTATTATTAATAAAATAGTTTGTTTTATTTATGTTGTTTTATTTATTCCTGTGGAATATTACAAATTTGTATTTGTACATAAGTTATATTGATAAATAATATAATCGTAAATGCGGGAAGTTTCATAGAGCTTGAAAGTAAGAAATAGTTTTTTTATATTTTTTTGGTATGTGGTATCTTGTTCCTATTTGTTTTGTATTAACACATACCATTTTTTATTAAATAAAATAACTCGATTACATTTTTTCAGTTTTATACAGTTTTTTTTCACAATATATTGAAGTAATCACTTGTCAGTCAAATATCAAAAGTCAGTTTAAATATATTAATTTCCTGCTATGCGTTCCAGTTGTACCAACTTATTTCTTTGTAAAATAAAATAAACTACTTTGAAATTAAAATGACAGACACATCTATCACTGTCAAGGATTTTCTCGTTGGACAGACTATATATATGTTGTAATGTTGTAAATACAAGCAATTGTTTATGTAACATACTAATAACAAGACAAATAAAATAAAAACATCAAATACAGGGGTTTCCATTAAAAAAACTAATATTTCGAAAACGATAGCTCCCAGCGAAAAAACTAGTCATGCCACTGGACTCTACGTGAGAAAATCTATGAAACTCGGTTTTACCTTTTCGATAAGTTATAAAATACCTGAAAAATACAGCCGAAAACTGCAAAACTCTCAAATTCGTCTTGTATTTCAGGAACTAAAAGGGCTAGTGCAAATCTGTATGTAGCATCTTTAGTTTCAAAAAGTAGTAGAGGGATGGTAAAACCACATTTTTGTATCTCTACTCATAAACCAGAAACCCCGTAAAACACACGAAAATGGGACACCCTGTATATTTTTAGTAGAGCACTGAGAAGGAAGACGAACACATAACTCTACCAGAGTATCTATTTCAGACTTTTATAATACACTAAACCCTACAGATATCATAAACAGTAATTTTACGAGAGTTGCGTCAATTACTCAATTACGTCAATAAATTTACCGCTATCTACATTTATATATTAAAAAATAAATTAATAAAACCCGGGCCCAGATAAAAATGAAAAATTCACTAATCTATTTATACTGTAAATCTGTAGTAGCATCTGCGAAAGAGTGCAGATCGGGCTAACTCTGAAAAAAAAATATTAATCTAAACAAATAAAAAAAGACAAAGTGACAATACAAAAGAGTGAAAGAATTCAATCAACGCAAAAAAAATGATTCGAATTTTGTGAGTATATGTGCGGTTTTTTAACGCGTTGTTAGTTTGACGGTATTTGCAGTGGATTTTGTAGTGGATTTTAGTAGCGTAAATCCTTTTGCTGTGAAAATTGTTTAGAAATGCCTGGTACGGACGGTGTGAATATGATTTCGGTTCGTGAAATGATACGGGATTTTGAAAATTGTAATATATCGCAGGATATGAGAATGGCACAAACTGAACCAAGGAGATCTAAAAGCCCAAGTTTTGTTATACCAAGGTAAGATTAGAAAAATACATTCATTATTATTCCCATTTATTTATAAGTTAAATTATTCTATATAAAAAAGGTGCCCGTTGGCGTAGAGGTACAGGGTGTCCCATTTTGGTTGAAATCATACGGTATCTCCGTTATTAGTGAAGATAGAAAGGTGCGGTTTGCACAAACCTGTCTCACTTTTTTGTCAAACGGAAGATGCTGTAAACAAAATTTTCATAGCCCTCTTCGTTTCCGAGCTACAGGGTCTTTTTGAAAGTTTTCCAATTTGGGACACCTCGGGTATCTCTGTTATTGTTAAAGCTATCGAGAAGGTGAAAATTGTTTATTGTAGAACTTTTTACATAGAATACAGTGGCGTAGTCTGTTTTTTTACCAAAAAAATATTTTTGAAAATATATACCAAACTAAAGTTATGTTTTTTTAAATGGAACACCCTGTATATTTATAAATCATATGATCTGTCTTGCCATAAGCTTCTCAAAAATATATATCACTCTATATTTATTTTCACTATTTACTGCAATATTTAAAAGTTTTTATTAAAACATCATATTTATTAGTAGGCCATGATTGATAATAAAAGAAACTAAAGAATTATTAAAAGTATACTGCTATCTGTCTCTTGTTTTATTTTGGGAGCCGCTAATAAATTCTTTATATATTAGGGAAACTTAACTCTTTACCGCTATTTGTAAATCTTGGAATACGTGTATACATAAGAATAATCTATCGTATCGGAAATTTTAGATATTCCTTTAGCTAATTTACGTGAAATATACTTTCAGCAACATGGGGAACATTCCCCCTCATAACTATGGAAATATTAGAATACTGTTAAATTATTATTTTTCAAATCAATGAATTGGAACCAATGAAAGCATATTGATAGCCTCCTCAGTTTATAATCATCTGCTGATGATGCTAACATGGTTAGCGAAACGCGCGTCCAGTGTAAAAGTAAAAGTGTTTTGGTGTATTGTGGTGATTTAGTGTTTTTATTTTGCTGTTTAACACCAAAGGTTCCAACCCTCAACTGTAAACTCCTCGATTCCCGGATTTCGCCGTTCTCGATTTCTGATTTTGGGAATTTTTGAAATACGAAATATATCGTAGGCACTACAACAATGTCGAACACCTGAAAAATGCTTTAATAATTCAAGATTTAGATATTTGCAAACCCATCCCGTTATAAAAAAAAGAAAAATATATTCACAGTTTCAGTGGTAACAGTTATTTCAGAAGAAAAATATATCAATCCCAAATAGATTTTAATATGTGTATGACTATTTTAGTAAATACCATTTTGATTTTTTGTTATTTATCACGGCCTACTAATCAGAAAATGATATATTTTAAATATTGCAGTAAATAGTGAAAATATATATAGAGTGGTATTAATTTTTGAGAAGCTCATAGCAAGACAGATCATATGATTTATAAATATACAGGGTGTTCCATTTGAAAAAACATAACTTTAGTTCATATTTTCAAAAATATTTTTTTGGTAGAAAAACAGACTACGCCACTGCATTCTACGTAAAAAGTTCTACAATAAGCAGTTTTCGCCTTCTCGATACCTTTAACAATAACAGAGATACAGGGGGTGTCCCAAATTGCAAATTTTTCGAAAAGACCCTGTAGCTCAGAAATGAAGAGGGCTATGAAAATCTTCCGTTTGACGAAAAAGTCGCACAGGTTTGTGCAAACCGCACTCTTCTATCTTCACTAATAACGGAGATACCCTATGATTTCAACCAGAATGGGACACACTGTACAGCTCTCGTCTACCAATCCAAAGGTTGTGGGTTCGAATCCTACAGCCGAAATTTCATCAGCCGACTATTTTTAATAAAATAAAAATAGTTTTGGGTACCTAGGTCGACTCAGCTTTAAATGAATACTTGGGATTCACAATCTTGAGGTAATAATAGGCGGTTGAAGCGTAGTGCTAGCCACATTACCTGTCTTGTATACCGAACGGCTCTAGCATGGCAAGCTGTACCTTGCTACTCCCAAGGCGTTAAACCCTATATACGGGTGCTATTATTATTATTATAAATTATTCTACAGGGTGGTCCGGACTGTTTTCCGGAAACTTAGGCAGTATATACTGCAGATAAAAATATGTAGAAAAGTTCGTATAAATGTATGTCCTAAAATGCTTAGTTTCAGAAATACAGGGTGTAGAAGTTTCATTTTTATTTCGATTTTATCCAAATAATTTCTAAAGTAACGTCAATATTTGGATGAAAATTGGTGTCAGGGAGTTTTTTGATATGATAAATTTGATTTTGATGTCAATATGACTCCTATTTGTAGGGGGCGCCACCTACATCTGTTTTAACTGTTTTGAACAGTCATAACTTTTCCTCCGTAACTGTATAAAACAACTGAGTGAAAAAATATACATTTCCGTGACTTTTTAGGTAATAAATATCTCTTGGTAAAAATGTCATTATTCACAAAAAAATAAACACGTTGAGTAGATAGTTATTTGACTGAAAGAATACATTTGGAAAATTTTTATTTTTTTTTAATTAATCACAAATTTTTCTGTGAAAAAATGGCAGGTATGACAGGTATTGATAATTTCGATTCCAAATATCTGGAGAACTATTACTACTAGCAATTTTTACCAAGATACCTTTTTTACGTAGTTTCCTCGTAAATGTATATTTTTTACTCAGCAGTTTTATACAGGTACGAACAGAAAGTTATTATTCTTCAAACCAGTTAAAAAATATGTAAGTGGTGCCCTCTACAAGTAGGAGTCATATTGACATCAAAATCAAATTTCTCATGCCAAAAACTCCCAGACACCAATTTTCATCCAAATATTAACGTTATTTCATAAATTATTTGGAAAAATTTGAAATAAAAATGAAACTTCTACACCCTGTATCTCCGAAACTAAGTATTTAAAGACATACATTTATACGAACTTTTTACTTATTTTTATCTGCAGTATATGCTGCCAAAGTTCCCGAAATACAGTTCCGACCACCCTGTATATACCGGATTTTCCAAATACATTTTTCCCATTGGGATTTTGGAAGCAGGAAGGAACACCATGTGGCTCAAATTGGTGCAAAATTTCTGCTCAGTGAAAATCTGTTTCAAAAATTTATATAAAAAAATATGGTGGAAATCTCAAATTTTATATTGTAGCGTTTTTTATAAACATTGCCACTGCGAACGGCAGCTTTTCGTTGGTAGAGCAGTCGTGGATAAGGTATTTCACTGGAAAGAACTAATTAACAATAATAACTCGAAATTATAAATATTGGGCGCCAGGCATGAACAGAGAAAGAAAACACCGTTGTTTATTACTTAAAACTAGTGACTATATTCATTCATGATGTATCCTGATGGTAAATAGCATTGTACAATTTTAATAATTATTATAGGTGGTTATATGTCGAGTAAAGCTATGTATGTAAATAATATTAAATATGTTCTATGAAAAGACTATGAAAAAATACAATGCGTGTAACGTTATAGAAAATATAAGAAAGGTAGCATTACTTTATTTAAATTACTAAATTTTATGCGGTGTTAAATCTGATATGTTGCAACCTGTTGATTCTAGAATCTATGTCTGGTTATTCATCTGTTAATATAGCGTAATAATAATATCTATAGAAAGTAATACTATTACAAGGCGTAATGTAATGAAACCTAATATCTAAATCATATTGTAACAACTAAATCGACATAAATGTTCTTAATAATCTAACCACTAAATATAGCCTGTACGATATCTACACTTAGCTGTTCTTGAGGCAATCCTGTTTCAAAGAGTAGCAGCGTGAGTTGGGCTCATATTTCTGTACTGTCTGTCGGCGATCCTGTTGGCCAAAACAACAAAAGGGGCCAGAATGAGGACACCATGAATCAATACAGCCGTAGCTACTGACTAGGCTTAGAAATGGGAGGGGAGCAGCATGGGGCTTACGCTGTATCCATACTGTGGCAATATGGGGACACTATCCGTACCTTGGAACACTACTAGGACCTTGGATAATGTCCGTAACCTGGACCATAACCTTGGACCATAATCTTGGACACAGTCCGTCCATAAGATAACGGTACAGGGGAACACTACCCGTACCTTGGATACTACAAGGACCTTGGATAATGCCCGTACCTTGTAAATAGTCCGTACCTTGGACCCTAAAAATATGAAACTCTTGTTTAAAACCAAACAAGATCTACTAAGCAAAATAAACCTACCTCGAATTACTTCCGAGGGCTCAATAATAAACAAAAAAACTGTCCTTTCTTCCATGTATCATTCTGGAGGACAAAAGAAAAGGGACGCCAACGTGCCAGCAAAATACAAATACAAGTTAAGTTGGGACATCCAAAATTCTACCCTAAAAATATGCAGTAATAATATCGAATCTAAAAAAGATAATATCTCATTTTTACCTGTAACTTCGAAATAGCAGCTGATCAAATTATACAGCAAGATTTTATAATTGCAGTTTCTCGAAGCAAGGATTTTTTGACGGTGACAGTAGGACGGTCAAAGTCAAGTGAAGTTAAGCACGGAGAGAGTTGACAGAAGCGATGCTGACAGCGCTCTACAGAACAGTGAAACGAGAGCAGGGTTGCCGACTAGAGAACGTAAAAATTACGCGTCAAATAAACTATCCGGCCTGAACGAGAGAGAATCCGGTGATGATAGGCCCAGACATCATATATTATATATAAAAAAGACATGTAACGAACTAAAAACGTTACAATATTTTAAGAGTTTATTTTGATAGAAGAAATCTATAGCACATTCTAAAAACAACTTCATATTTTGCTGATGTCAAAAATAACTTAAAAACTTTGGTTTTTCAAGAAACCATTATCAACTTTATTAAAAAAATAAAATATGTTCTGCATTTTTTAACTCCAATGCACTGATATATCGTACTTACCCAAAAAATGCTGCTTGTTTTTTTACACACGCCAAAAATGAACCATATACTCATCTCTCTCCAACACAT